TTTCCCATTGTAGCCAATGGGCTGAATCTTTGGCAAATGAAAATGGCAAGACCCCTTCCGATTCAAGTCACTTCCTGGTAAAGAGAATGAGGGGTTAGCTGACAATGGACCCTGAAACGGCATGCCTTTTGGCCAAATTGCACACTTCTAGAATTGCCCACACTTGACCTTTATTCTAGAAGGAGCTAGAGGAAAACATTTTGAAGGTTATAGATCTCACAATCTAATATCTTCGACAGGTAGGTGTGGATATTGAGAGGTGTAATACTCAACTTCTCTCCAATCTAAAACCCACCTGTTTTTTTTAAGCCTTGCCCATCACCTTGAGTGCCAAAGTGGTGGGTTAAAACAAAAAAAAAGAGGCTTTGTGTGACTCAGGAATGACAGCTAAAGTGTGCAGTAGGTGGAACGAAATGTGTCACAATGATGCATTTTGTTCCTTCATAGTATTTTCACTCCATATTTTTGAAGCAAACCAATCTGATTTGTACATTTCAGAGCAGAACACTTTTATACATCAATTTCTTCTCTGAATCTTACAATAGAATATTTACCTGGAGCCAGACAGAAATATACAAACGTACAGAGGAAACAGTACAACTGCATGACTGGAAATCAGTTGCTAAGACCCAACTAGAGCAGACCCATTGGATCAATTGTTGAACAGTGTATCAATCCACAGCTAAATCTCATTGATTTAATGGGTCAACTGTCATCAGGATTAACAATAGGATTTAGGTCCATGTGGAACATTGCTTACATAATGATGAGCTGAATATATCTATAGTACAATGGACATAAAGATTCAAGGAACTTACATGTCAATCACTGCAAAAAAAAATTGGTTGAGATCCTACATCATCAATGTAACTAAGATGATGGAGTTCACTTTGCAGTGACTCCACCTGACAATGCAACCCCGTAAAAATCTTACATTGCAGCTAGCATCTCTTCCCCCTAAAAGATTGGATTGCTGCAGAATGACATTTGCAGTGTTCATTTTGCCATCGACATATAAGGAATAGGAAGCATAAGAGATCATTGAGGTTCCTCTCACAACTGCAGATGTCATTTCCCAGGTACCTGATCTGAACCACAAGAAGACACTTCAGCTGTCTGCTAGGCTGCAAAGGTAGTTTTGGGGGTCCTGTTTGGTCATTCATACCAACTTATGATCTTGTAAATCCTGAACAGGATGCCCACTTTTGTTTTTGCTTTGCAGGAACCTAGAGAAGCTCTCCTTGCTGTCCTTGCCATATAATTGGCCACATGTCATGGATATTACTTCAGCATTTTCCTCCCACAAACTGGGAATCCACAGGCTCCTCTATTTTCCACAATGGCTTACCTTGTTTTTCTTCAGCTACATTCCCTTCTCCACCCTACTCATTTTATTCTCTAAGCAGCCTTTTCAGCTCAAGAGAAATGAGGACCAAAACAATTTCCACACTTCCTTCTAATTAAAAAATCTTGCAGTGTGAAAATAGAGCTGAGATAAATGGCAATGGTAAACGTTTTCCAGTCAAACGTGAAAAATAAAACTGAAAAATGGGGAGAGGGAGAGCCCACTAGATGTTTCCAACAGTGTTCAGCTAGCTACACACTGTCAGGAAGCGCACAACAAGCGGTGCATGAAGGCAACAGCCATCTCAGTTAAATCATATAGAGACACTTTCCAATATTCAGAGAGATACAGATTCATAGAACCATGCAGCCATAGAGCTGAAACGGATTGCAAAGGCCTTCTAGTCTAACCTTTGCCATGAGGGAATGCATAGCTAAAGCATTCCTGAATGATGTCCAAAGAAAGAGTCTCTACTACTCAGTCTATCCCATGGTTTACCACTCTTGCTGTCCATGCAATCTTTCCAATGTTTAGATAGTATCTTTCTTCTTCTAATTTGATGGCTCTGGGAATGGACCTCCAGATATTGTGGAATCCTTGTTCTCCTATTGCCTGACCAAGAGCTATGCTAGCTTCAGGTTGGGGAATTATAACCCAGTAGCAGCTGGAGTTCCACAGCTCCCCACCCCTTGTATTATATTATGCCCAAAATATGTAATGATTTGAGTGTTGGACTAAAACTCTGGTGAACAGAGTTCAAATCTCTGCTCAGTCATGAAAACCCACTGAGTGACCTTGCACAAGTTACAGCCTTAGCTTCAGAAAGGGTCTCCTTAAGGTTGCCATGAGTTGGAAACAACCTGAAGGCACATAACAACAAGAAGCACCAAAAAGTTTATCTTCTGTTAACGACAACCTCTAGGAGAAAGCTCATCATGGTTGCTATCCTTTAAAGCAGTGTTTCTCAACCCTCCTAATGCTGCGACCCCTTATTACAGTTCCTCATGTTGTGGTGACCCCCAACCATAACATTATTTTTGTTGCTACTTCAGAACTGTCATTTTGCTCCTGATTTGAATTGTAATGTAAATATCTGGTCTGCAGGATATATTTTCATTACTGGATCAAATAACCTAATAAGTTCTAATTTGAATACTGGTGGGGTTGGAGGGGCATTGATTTTGTCACTTGGGAGTGGTAGTTGCTGGGATTTATAGTTCACCTACCATCAAAGAGCACTCTGAACTCCATGAACAATGGAATGGAACCAAACTTGGCACACCAAACTCACATGACCAACAGAAAATACTGGAAGGGTTTTCTAGGCATTGACCATGAGTTCTGGAGTTGTAGTTCACCTATATCCACAGAGCACTGTGGACTGAATGATGGATCTGGACCAAAATTGGCATGAATACCCAATATGCCAAAATACAAACACTGGTGGAGTTTGGATAAAACAGACTTTGACATTTGAGAGTTGTTGTTGCTGGGATTTATAGTTCATCTACCATCAAAGAGCACTCTGAATTCCACCAATGATGGAGTTGAACCAAACTTGACACACATAACTCCCATGAACAACAGAAAACACTGGAAGGGTTTGGTGGGCATTGACCTTGAGTTCGAGAGTTGTAGTTCACCTACATCCAGAGAGCACTGTGGACACACTACCCCATGAGCAACAGAAAATATTGAGTTTTCTGATGGTCTTTGGCGACCCCTCTGACAATCCCTTGTGACGCTCCCAACGGGTCCCGACCCCCAGGTTGAGAAACACTGCTTTAAAGGATTAGTGACTCAATGTTGGTTTTTCTCTATGAATGTATAATAAAGAACACAAGATGTTGATGGGGCAGTTGAGCTGACATCTGAAGTTGCATCATAAAATGATAAGTGTTGGAAGGGACCACAAGTGCCACCTAGCCCTACAGGAACCCCCTGCTAAAGCATCATTGAAAGACAGTCATCTAATCTCTATTTAAAAACCTCAAAGGAAGATGAATCCACTACTTCTGTGGCAGATTATTCTCCCATTGAACAGCTCTTACTACCCAAACATTCTTCCTCATGGTTGGTTGACATCTTTATCAATTTGAATTGTCTAAGACTTTCATGACCAGTATCACTGAGTTGTTTTAGGTTTTTCGGGCTGTATGGCCATGTTCCAGAAGCATTCTCTCCTGATGTTTCACCTGCATCTGTGACAAGCATCCTCAGAGGTTGCGAGGTTTGTTGGAAACTGGAAAATGGAGTTTATATATCTGTGGAAGGTCCAGGATGGGAGAAAGAACTCTTGTCTGTTGGAGATAAGGGTGGATGTTTCAATTGGCCACCTTGATTAGCATTTGATGGCCTGACAGCTTTTAAGTGTGGCTTGTTACTGCCTGGAAAATTTCCTTGTTGAGAGGTGACTAGGTGTTCCTGATTGTTTCTTGGAGTTCCCCTGTGTTTGAGTTTTGTTTTTTTATTTACTGTTATAATTTTAGATTTTTTTTTAATATTGGTGGCCAGGTTTTGTTCATTTACATGATTTCTTCCTTTCTGTTGAAATTGTCCACATGCTTGTGGATTTCAATGGTTTCTCTGTGTAGTCTGACATGGTAGCTGTTAAGAGTGGTCCAGCATTTCTGTGTTCTCAAATCATATGCTGTGTCCAGGTTGGTTCATCAAGTCACGACTTCTGAGGATGTGTGCCATAGATGCAGGCAAAACATCACGAGAGAATGTTACTACAACACGCCCATACAGCCCGAAAAACCTTCAACAACCCATCTTCATTCATGCTATTTGAATCCTTTCTAAATCTTGTCATTTGCTTACATCCTGCTTTCTAGAGTATCAGAAAACAAGGTCATGACATCATCCACATAACAGCCTTTCAAATATTTAAAGAAAAATCTCATATCACCTATCCATTTTTCCTTCCTTGGGCTAAATGAACCCAGCTCCTACAACTCTTTTGCATAGGACTCAGTTTGCAAACCTTATACTCTCTTGTGTCATGGTGGACACACATTAAGTGTGGAATCTAACTCCTTCCCAGGCTAAAGGAAATCATGGAAAGCACAGATAACTTATTTCAAACCACTGCATGTGTTACTTGTCCATACTGGCCTGTCCCAAAGCAGTTGCTCTACTCCGAACTCAAGAATGGAAAATTGAATGTTGGTGGGCAAGAAAAGAGATTTAAAGACGGGCTCAAAGCCAACCTTAAAAACTATGGCATAGACACTGAGAACTGGGAAACCCTGTCCTTGAGTGCTCCAGCTGGAGGTCAGCTGTGACCAGCAGTGCTGTAGAATTTAAAGAGGCACGAATGGAGGACGAGAGAGAGAAACGTGCCAAGAGGAAGGTGTGTCAAGCCACCCCAACCGAGACCACCTTCTACCTGGAAACTGATGTCCTCACTGCGGGAGAACATGAAGATCAAGAACAGGGCTCCACAGTCACCTACGGACTCACCCCCAGTACACTGATCCTGGAAGACTATCCACTCAGACAACAAGGGATTGCCTAAGGAAGGAAGGTAACTCTGAGATTTAGAACTGGAGCAATACACTTTTTCCTTGGCTGCACCTCATTCCCTATACCCATGATGAAAAAGTACATTAAGGGATTCCCACCAAGCCATTCAAGAGAAAGTGACGCATACCTTTCCACCCAGTTCTTGTAGCTGGGTATATCCTTGGCATAAAGCAGCTTATTCGATGGGGAATCTTTGCCCAAACGATGCTCTGAGGTTGAACAGGAGTCCATGAAGGTTTGTGCCACCACCGACAGGCAAGCGTCCGTGATGCTGTTCTTGTGGATGTCGAAGACAAACTGTGGGTTTTTGATCATGTTCACCCAAAATCTTAGAGGCAAGCTGAAGGAAGGGAGGAAGGAAGAAACTAAAATGAATAATACGCATTCAACTCAGTAGCCAAGATACTACATCTTTGATAACTTTATGAATCTGTAACGACACTGCAGAACCACAACATAATCCTGATAAGGAATGATAAAGTTACATATTTATTTATTTATTTATTTTTATTTACGATATTTTTATCCCGCCTTTCTCGGCCTGAAGGCGACTCAAAGCGGCTTACAAATGGGTAGCTATTTGATGCCACAGCAGTCCATAGTATACAATTAAAACAATAAAACAACATTATAAAATCCATCTATATATAAATGCTCTGTGCATAATGAGTACCTTAAAAACAAAAGAATCAATGAATGAAATCACACCAAATTTGGCAATAAAATGTCTCACAACACAAGGAGTGACCATCACTCAAAAAATTATAATTTTGTCATTTGGGAGTTGTAGTTGCTGGGATTTATAGTTCACTACAATCAAAGAGCATTCTGAACTCCATCAACGATGGAATTTAACCAAACTTGGCACACAGGACTCCCATGACCAACAGAAAATACTGGAAGGGTTTGGTGGGCATTGACCTTGAGTTTGGGAGTTGTAGTTCACCTACATCCAGAGAGCACTGTGGACTCAAACAATGATGGATCTGGACCAAACTTGGCACAAGCACTCAATACGCCCAAATATGAACACAGATGGAGTTTGGGGGAAATAGACCTTGACATTTGGGAGTTGTAGTCACTGGGATTCACAGTTCACCTACAATCAAAGAGCATTCTGAACCCCACGAACGACAGAATCGGGGCAACACCTACCTATCTACCCATCTGTCTGTCTGTCTGTCTGTCTGTCTATCTATCCAGCCCTCCCTCCCTCCACCCCCCTACCTATCTACCCGCCTGCCTGCCTGCCTGCCTATCTATCTATCTATCTATCTATCTATCTATCTATCTCGCCTATCCTATCTATCTATCTATCTATCTATCTATCTATCTATCTATCTATCTATCTATCTATCTATCTATCTATCTACCCATCCATCTATCCATCCCTCCCTCCACCTACCTACCTATCTATCTGTTCTGTCCACCCACCCACCTACCCGTCCATCCATCCTTCCATCCATCCAGCCAGCCAGCCAGCCTACCTACCTACCTACCTACCTACCTATTTGTCTATCTATCTATCTATCTATCTATCTATCTATCTATCTATCTATCTATCTATCTATCTATCTATCTATCTATTTTCAAGACACATTGGGGGTTTTTTTGTCTTGGGAAGGAGGCTGTTCCCCCTTGTCCTTCATGCCCCAGATGGTCACTGTCCCAGTTCCAGCTGCTTTCCCTGATTTAAGAGATTTCTAAGCAGACTTTAAAAAAACAAATGCATGCCATTTCCCCTGAAAAGAGCATACAAAAATCTGTTTGTTTGTTTTTTTATTAAAGAGGATGATCAATCTTAAGCAGAAAGAGCCACAAATCCATTTAAATTCATACCAGTCCTTAGCTTCTGAACCCGGGCAGCCAAATGGCATACGGAAACATTTTTATTTCCTTAGGCAATTTATATGCCACCTATTAGCCAAGAACTGAGAAAGCTGCTGATGAAATATATCTAACATAAAGTACAGTGCAGTCAAATAGATTTTTAAATACTCCCGAGGCAATGAAGAATGGCATAATGATCGCACTCTAAAAAGCCAATGAAACCATCCTATTCAAACCAGTTTCAGGAATGTTCTGGAAGGCCTTTTGTAAATATAGAGGGTTTGACTTTGCCTTGCATTCGTGGTCTAAAGATTCCTCCAGAAAAATACAGAATGGAAGGCATCCCAATGAGGAAAACTCTTCCAACTTCAGAAGGAGATTTGCTAAAGGTCGAGTTATGGCATTGTGTTTTGTGCAGCTTATCTTCCAACATTTCACAGATTATTTATTTATTTTATTTATCATGTCAGGGCAACCAGTCGATTATATTACATTTCTAACATAACAAAGCAAGCAAACAGACAAAATACAAAATTTGCAAGCTTGGTAGTTGATTAAATGTCCTTTGACCAGTATCTGGCCACTTGGAGTGCCTCTGGTGTTGCCTCAAGAAGGTCCTCCATTGTGCATGTAGCAGGGCTCAGGTTGCATTGCAGCAGGTGGTCAGTGGTTTGCTCTTCTCCACACTCGCATGTCGTGGATTCCACTTTGTGGCCCCATTTCTGAAGGTTGGCTCTGCATCTCGTGGTGCCAGAGCGCAGTCTGTTCAGCGCCTTCCAAGTTGCCCAGTCTTCTGTGTGCCCAGGGGGGAGTCTCTCATTTGGTATCAGCCATTGATTGAGGTTCTGGGTTTGAGCCTGCCACTTTTGGACTCTCGCTTGCTGAGGATGTTCCAGCGAGTGTCTCTGTAGATCTTAGAAAACTATTTCTAGATTTAAGTCATTGACGTGCTGGCCTGATACCCAAACAGGGGATGAGCTGGAGATGTCACTGCCTTGGTCCTTTCACTATTGGCTGCTACTTCCCGGCGGATGTCAGGTGGTGCAATACCGGCTAAGCAGTGTAATTTCTCCAGTGGTGTAGGGCGCAGACACCCCGTGATAATGCGGCATGTCTCATTCAGAGCCACATCCACTGTTTAAGTGTGGTGAGATGTGTTCCACACTGGGCATGCATACTCAGCAGCAGAGTAGCACAGCGCAAGGGCAGATGTCTTCACTGTATCTGGTTGTGATCCCCAGGTTGTGCCAGTCAGCTTTCGTATGATATTGTTTCTAGCACCCACTTTTTGCTTGATGTTCAGCCAGTGCTTCTTGTAGGTAAGAGCACGGTCCAGAGTGACTCCCAGGTATTTGGGTGCGCTGCAGTGTTCCAGTGGGATTCCTTCCCAGGTAATCATCCTCAGAGCAGGAGGGAGCAAGCTTGTTTTCTGCTTCCCTGGAGACTAGGACGCAGAACAATGGCTTCAAACTACAAGAAAGGAGATTCCATCTGAACACGAGGAAGAACTTCCTGACTGTGAGAGCCGTTCAGCAGTGGAACTCTCTGCCCCGGAGTGTGGTGGAGGCTCCTTCTTTGGAAGCTTTTAAACAGAGGCTGGATGGCCATCTGTCAGGGGTGATTGAATGCAATATTCCTGCTTCTTGGCAGGGGGTTGGACTGGATGGCCCATGAGGTCTCTTCCAACTCTTGGATTCTATGATTCTATGAATCACTATCCTAAGACTCCCATCATAGTAAACGCACATGTCTGTGTTTTAGATGGATTAAGGATCAGCTGGTTTTCCCTGTAATAGGCAGTAAGAGCACCTAGAGCTTCGGAGAGCTTCTGTTCTACCATCTCAAAGCTCCCTGCTTGAGCGGTGATGGCACGATCATCAGCATAGATGAAACTCTCTGTCCCTTCTGGCAGTGGCTGGTCATTTGTGTAGATGTTGAACATGGATGGAGCAAGCACACAGATGAAAACCACAATGTGTATAGCCAAGCAACATCACAGTGTGGTCAAGATGGCAAATTTTAATCAGGTGGAAGAATGTGAGGTCTGACCTCCCAACCTCTGAGGATGCCTGCCATAGATGTGGGAGAAGTGTCAGGAGAGACTGCTTCTGGAACATGGCCATACAGCCCAGAAAACTCAAAGCAACCCAACAGAGGATTTTTTTAAAAGAAAAATGGGGAGGGGAGGGGGAATGAAGCTTTTGAAACTGATTTATAATTAAATGAACCTGATTAAGAAAAGATCAAGCTTTTTTCAGTTTCACCTCCCTCCCACCCACTTCCATACTCTCACTTTGAAATAAACCTCCTGCTCATTTAGTCTGAGTGGCTTGAATCAGATGTAGATTAGTGCCACAGATGATGTTAATAATATGCTAATGTTTCATTAGCTCAACGCTAACCGGGTTGCTGGGATTTCTTTCTTTCTTTTTCAAATGGACTCTGTGATGTGTCATCATCCTGCCAGTTTGCGAAAAAGGAGGAAATGTATTGGTGGACCAACCCCAAGCTCACCTGCTTGTAATTTGAAAACATACCTCTGCTTTTCGAAGAGGAGACTAAAGGTCTTCTCTTCCATGTGGGTGGAACAAGGACACCACTGAGCAGGATAATATTATATGGGGAGGAGCCTTCTAGAATTATAGAATCATAAGAGTTGCAAGAGACCATAATGGTAATCTAGTCCAACCTTCTGCTGTGTAGGTTGACACAATCAAAGCACCCTCAACAGATGACTATCTAGTCTCTGCTTAAGAACCTCTACAGAAGGAAACACCATCACACTTCCAGGCACCATATTTCACTGCTGGACTGCTCTTACCATCAGGAAGTTCTTCCTAATGTTTAGATGGAATCTCTTTTCCTGCCATTTGAATCCATTGCTCCATTGTGCCCTGAGCAGTGTTTCTCAACCTGGGGGTCGGGACCCCTGAGGGATTTGTGCGGGTATGTCAGAGGGGTAGCCAAAGACTATTGGAAAACAGTATTTTCTATTGGTCATGGGGGTTCTGTGTGGGAAGTTTGGTCCAATTCTATCATTGTGGGGTTCAGAATGCTCTTTGATAGGTGAACTATAAATCCCAGCAACTACAACTCCCAAATGTCAAGGTCTATTTTCCCCAAACTCCACCAGTGTTCACATTTGGGCATATTGAGTATTCATGCCAAGTTTGGTCCAGATCCATCATTGTTTGAGTCCACAGTTCTCTCTGGATATAGGTGAACTACAACTCCCAAACTCAAGGTCAATGCCCACCAAATCCTTCCAGGATTTTCTGTTGGTTGGTTGGGGGGGGGGGGGCGCCAAAATACTGTTTGCTTACCATTGAAAATTACCTAGGGTCACCTCTCTGTGTGGTGGGATGTGCTGGCAAGCCCAGAAAGGATGCATGCCTGCCAATGCCTACAGTCAAATGCCTCTTACTCTATGAAAGTGGTTCTCAACCTGTGGGTCCCCAGATGTTTTGGCCTACAACTCCCAGAAATCCCAGCCAGTTTATCAGCTGTTAGGATTTCTGGGAGTTGAAGGCCAAAAACATCTGGGGACCCCAGGTTGAGAATCACTGCTCTAAGAGTAGATACAGCAAGTGCCAGGTAAGAAGAACACATGCTGGGAAGGGGAGCCAGTGGTTGGGAAGTCCTCCCCCCCACAATAATTGTTCGATTTTTGGGCTGCAAAACAAAAGAACCGAAAATAACATCAGTACTTCCAAGTACTTCCATGTATAAGTATGTGAGAGGAAGCCACAGGGAGGAGGGAGCAAGCTTGTTTTCTGCTTCCTTGGAGACTAGGATGCGGAACAATGGCTTCAAACTACAAGAGAGGAGATTCCATCTGAACATAGGAAGAACTTCCTGACTGTGAGAGCCGTTCAGCAGTGGAACTCTCTGCCCCGGAGTGTGGTGGAGGCTCCTTCTTTGGAAGCTTTTAAACAGAGGCTGGATGGCATCTGTCAGGGGTGATTTGAATGCAATATTCCTTCTTCTTGGCAGGGGGTTGGACTGGATGGCCCATGAGGTCTCTTCCAACTCTTTGATTCTATGATTCTATGATCTTCAGAGCTAGGGATGCTTGTCTGTTCTTGAGATGAAAGGTACATGTCTGTGTTTTAGATGGTTTGCGAATCAGCTGGTTCTATGATTCTATTATTCTAAGTCCTTCATTTTGCTGTCAATGACCTCAATGATTCTTCTCATCGTTTTCACAGAATCCTAGTGTTGGACGAGACCAGAAGAGCCATTCAGTCCAATAGCATTCAGTGGACAGCAAAGAAAATAATGTCCAGGTGGGCTTTTAGCAACTGAATGACAGCTATGTAAATAGATTTTAACAGATTGCTGCTAGCCCTTTTTTAAAAAGGATATTCTCTCCAAATGTCTTTTTTAATATTCCAGTGTTTTAATTGCTATGATTCATTAGTGATTTGTTGTGTTTTGCCATTATAGCATTGTACTTCTTTCTTCCCCTTTTATGAGCTTTTATTTGCACCTATCTTTTTGCTGTCCCATTTCTGGGGAAAGGAAGGAGATATAAATCAAATGAATGTGTGAATGAATTACTAATTAACAACATTAAAATACAGTCTCTTTTAAGATATTTTCTTCGGTGTTAAGGGAAAGCCTGCAGCCAAGGGACTCTTGTCCTGTTTCTTGGTGAAAGAAATTAGGGTTGATTAAGGATTGTTTGTTGTTCATTCATTCAGTCGTTTCCGACTCTTTGTGACCTCATGGATCAGCCCACGCCAGAGCTCCCTGTCGGCCGTCACCACCCCCAGCTCCTTCAAGGTCCAGTCCAGTCACTTCAAGGATGCCATCCATCCATCTTGCCCTTGGTCGGCCCCTCTTCCTTTTGCCTTCCACTTTCCCCAGCATAATTGTCTTCTCTAGGCTTTCCTGTCTCCTCATGATGTGGCCAAAGTACTTCAACTTTGCCTCTAGTATCTTTCCCTCCAGTGAGCAGTCGGGCTTTATTTCCTGGAGGATGGACTGGTTGGATCTTCTCGCAGTCCAAGGCACTCTCAGCACTTTCCTCCAACACCACAGCTCAAAAGCATCGATCTTCCTTCGCTCAGCCTTCCCTAAGGGCCAGCTCTCACATCCGTAGGTTACTACAGGGAATACCATGGCTTTGACTAGGCGGATCTTTGTTGCCAGTCTGATGTCTCTACTCTTCACGATTTTATCGAGACTGGACATTGCTCTCCTCCCAAGAAGTAAGCGTCTTCTGATTTCCTGGCCACAGTCTGCATCTGCAGTCATCTTTGCACCTAGAAATACAAAGTCTGTCACGTCCACATTTTCTCCCTCTATTTCCCAGTTGTCAATCATTCTTGTTGCCATAATCTTGGTTTTTTTGACGTTTAGCTGCAACCCAGCTTTTGCGCTTTCTTCTTTCACCTTGATTAGAAGGCTCCTCAGCTCCTTCTCGCTTTTGGCCATCAGAGTGGTGTCATCTGCATATCTGAGGTTGTTAATGTTTCTTCCAGCAATTTTCACCCCAGCCTTGCTTTCATCAAGCCCCGCACATCGCATGATGTGTTCTGCATACAAGTTAAAAAGGTTGGGTGAGAGGATGCAGCCTTGCCGTACGCCTTTCCCAATCTTGAACCAGTCTGTTGTTCCGTGGTCAGTTCTGACTGTTGCTACTTGGTCCTTGTACAGATTCCTCAGGAGAGAGACAAGGTGGCTTGGGATGCCCATCCCACCAAGAACTTGCCACAATTTATTATGATCCACACAGTCAAAGGCTTTAGAATAGTCAGTGAAGCAGAAGTAGATGTTTTTCTGAAACTCCCTGCCTTTCTCCATTATCCAGCGGATATTGGCAATCTGGTCTCTCGTTCCTCTGCCTTTTCTAAACCCAGCTTGAACATCTGGCAACTCTCGCTCCATGTATTGCTGGAGTCTTCCTTGCAGGATCTTGAGCATTACCCTACTGGCATGAGAAATAAGGGCCACTGTACGGAAGTTTGAGCAGTCTTTCGCATTTCCCTTTTTTGGTATGGGGATATAAGTTGATTTTTTCCAGTCTGATGGCCATTCTTGTGTTTTCCATATTTGCTGGCAAATGGCATACATCACCTTGACAGCATCATCTTTTAAGATTTTAAACAGTTCAGCTGGGATCCCGTTAAGGATACAAGATGCAAATCTTGACTGATTTCATTCTTGAATGGAAGAAGCACCAAAAAACCCTTCTTCCTTGCTGAGTGAGACTGCAGGAGGTTTCACTCAATTACAGGTGTTTGGGAAGGCTTTTTGTGAAAAGTTCAAAAAGGTGGTTTCTGCTGCATAAATCTTGGCCAGAATTCAGCATTACACTCAGGACTGTGTAACCTGGAGTTATGCATCTGTAACCCATCTGTGTTTATGATCCTTCTGTAACTTTAATGACCCCCTATGCCAAGAGGAGATCCATTCGTCAGGTGTTCAGGGAATGGTTGCATTACCATGTTATATCTTCCTTAGGAGGCATTTTATTTATTTATTTATTTATTTGCTTTATTTGTATACCACATTTTTCAGCCCAGACAGGCGACTCAATGCGGTTTACATGGTACAGATTATCACAACAGTCAGTGCAATTAAAACACAACAATTACAACAACAAAATCAATAGCATCAATCAACAACAATTAACAAATCAAACATCGCCTCCGTGAAATCAGATCCGTTCTCATAATCCTTGTGCCATTCCTATGTTCCATTTACCGTCTTCCTATGTTCGGTTGCACTGTTTAACCAAACGCTTGTTCATAAAGCCAAGTCTTGACCTTTCTCCGAAACGCCAGCAACGAATGCCTGTCTGATGTCTGCTGGTAAGGCATTCCATAGCCGAGGGGCCACCACTGAGAAGGCCCTGTCTCTCGTCCCCGCCAAACGCGCCTGCGATGCAGGCGGCACCGAGAGCAGGGCCTCCCCAGACGATCTTAATGTTCTAGTCGGTTCATAGGTGGAGATGCGTTCGGAGAGGTAAGTGGGGCTAGAACTGTTTAGGGCTTTATAGGCTAAAGCCAGCAGCTTGAATTGTGCCCGATAGCAGATTGGCAGCCAGTGGAGTTGGCTCAACAGAGGAGTGGTATGCTCCCTGAGTGCCGCTCCCGTTAGCAACCTGGCTGCCGAGCGCTGGACCATCTGAAGCTTCCGGGCAGTCTTCAAGGGCAACCCCACGTAGAGCATTTACTACATTTCTTTGTAGTAAAATAATATGGTTGCACTATTTACAACAACAAGGTTTCCATAACACAAATTAAGTTTTTTATACTTCCTTCTTTGCTTCCACGCTGGGCTTATTTTCATGCAGATAAACAGACTCACTCTCACAGAGCCTCCTCTCAAACCTCTGGTTTACTAGCAAACCAGAGGTTAAACCACTCCCTTATAAGAAGTAGGGATCACACATAAATTGTAATAACAAAACATATGGGGGCACAACATATCTCATCAATACCATTCATTTATATATTTAAAATATATGATTTATTGCTTATTTCATATAGACTTCTTACGTTTGCGTGACATGCCTAAACACTGCAGCTGATGCATTAACATGTTATGACACACAGTTTGGAAAGCTCTCTTATAAATGCTTCCTTCTATGCCTCATAAAGACGAATCCCTATTAACACCCATGGATCCATCCATTAATCCCATCACAGTGCTCTTCTACTGCTTCAGACACACGTGGCTTTCTCACCCCCGCCCGCCCCCAAAAAAACTCACCAGTTGCTTTTCCAAGTGTGCCGCACATGAGGGTCATGGATGTTGTGCTTGTCTGCCTGCTCATCCAAGAAATCGAACATATATTTGATGGCCAAGGGCAGTGCGCTGCCACGATGCGCTGTGCTGAAGATTGTCTCAAAGAGATCATCGACGAACTTCTGTAAAGTGCCCTGGTAGGAGGAAAAACATGAATTAATATTGTCTCAGAAGCAAGGTTGACCCATCCCCAGAAGGTCCAAAAGTTGCTGAACCAATGAAACTGAGGACTGAGTCTATAACAGTGTCACAACAGATGTTTTGACTCAGGAGTAGAGTGCAACCCAAGCTTTGATCTTGTAGAGCAGTGGTTCTCAACCTGTGGATCCCCAGGTGTTTTGGCCTACAACTCCCAGAAATCCCAGCCAGTTTACCAGCTGTTAGGATTTCTGGGAGTTGAAGGCCAAAAACATCTGGGGACCCCAGGTTGAGGAACCACTGTTGTAGAGGTTTCTTGTTGTTAATTGCCATCAAGTTAACTTTGACATGTGGCAACCACATGAATGAGAGATCTCCAAGGGAAGTTCCAGACAGCCCTTTATCCCAGCATCATTCACGTTTTAAAAACATGGATGTTCTTAGGGACCTGATTACACCCACTCCGGAAAGGGCATGCTTTCTGGGGTGTGTGTCCAGAAGTTCTGCCGGGATTTAGCCCAGCAGAACTTCTGGGGACCCTCCCTCAAAGCTCCCAACCCCCTTTTAAAAGTAAAGAAAAATTACCTGGCCTCCAGTACACTGCTGCAGCAGCTCTCCCAGTGCATAGAAAAGATGCGCCTGGAGAGTGAGGGGGAGGGAGGAGGAAAATTGTTCCTTTCCTCCTCTCCGCTCTCCTGGTGCGTCATTTCTACGCACCGGGGGAGCTGCTGCAATAGCGTACTGGAGACTGGGTAAGTTTTCTTTACTTTTAAAAGGGGGTTGGGGGCTTTGGGGGAGGGGGGTGGGTATTCTCACAGTTTTCCGGACTAATTCAGTCCAAAAACCTGTGGGAATGGTCTCGGGATTGGAGTCCAGACACCAGAAATAGTGGGTTTATCCTACGCCTTCCAAGAAGGCGCGGAATAAATCTACTATTTAATTAATTCGCTACAAATCAGGGTTTTCCTGGTTTGTGGCGAATGAATTTGGGATTGTCCATGATGTCATCTGGACAGCCCCTTTTTTATTGTGGGAGTTACCACAATAAAAGGGCTGTCTAGATGCACCCCCAGTCAACCTGCCCTTAAAGTCGCCCATTCTTGGTTTGGAGAATGGATTTCAATGGCTTCCACCTGGAAATCGGTGTCCTCACTGTGGGAGAACATGCAGATCAAGAATAGAGCTTCACAAGAGCAGTCCAGCATTTCTGTGTTCTCAAATAATATTCTGTGTCCAGGTTGGTTCATCAGGTGCTCTGCTATAGCTGACTTCTCTGGTTGAAGGAGTCTGCAGTGCCTTTCAGGTTCCTTGATTCATGTTTGGACAATGCTGCATTTGGTGGTCCCTATGTAGACTTGTTCACAGCTGCATGGTATACGGTGGACTCCTGCAGAAGTGAGAGGATCCCTCTTGTCCTTTGCTGAACATAGCATTTGTTGGATTTTCTTGGTGGGTCTGTAGATAGTTTGTAGGCTGTGTTTCCTCGTCAACTTCCCTATGCAGTCAGTGGTTCCCTTGATGTATGGCAAGAACACTTTTTGGAGGATCTGCTCCATGAACACAATGCTGGATGTCTTTTCAACAATGTTTTGAATATTTTTGAATTTTCTTCCTCTCCCTATATGGATGCTGGCCTGCTTTTTAAGAACTGAAGGGCAACTAGATGTCAATAACTCCTTGCTGTTGCTATATTTTCTAATGGGGGTCAAGAAAGGATCAGAGTCCAAGGGTGGCACACCTGAGCTGATGGGTTCCACTGTTACACAATTTGTGGTAGTTTATTTTCTTCCAGGCACTCACTGCCTGCTTCTGCCTGTTCTCCTTTTTTCTGTTTGGCACTTTTAAAGTGTCAGCAAAATCAATTCCCCGTAAATAACAAAGTAAGCGACGAGGGAGGTGGTGCCGCATGGAAAGCATCAAGTGTTAAACCGCCGTCCTTGGCATTCCTGGGCCGAAAGTCAACTGTAGAGAGTTATAGAGCTGTCAGGCAAATCATCTCCTATGAAGCACATGGAGCAGTGACATATTGAGTGCTCACCACCCGGACACCTTGCTACAGGCTGGCACCTCTGTGGAGGGGCTGTCCCCTTGTCAAACTCTCCACTGGAGAACTCTCTCTCTCCCTCTCTCTCCCTTCCTTGTCAGTCCCTTTCATATTAGACAAAACCCACCACATTGTTCCAGACAATGGGGACGCATCAAGAAGGTGTTCCTAAAAGCAGGTTTGAGCTACTTCTGAGACCCAGAGATACTTGACTGATGGATAATCTGTGCACTGAGAAGTCAAGCGGCTCTTCCAAATCAGCTTGAGTCTGTCCAGCAGCCGGAGATATGTGCTGCTTCTTTTATCAGTACTTAGCACTTGCCCTAGAAGATATCCAAGGCTGTGCAGGGATTTGAACTCCAGTGGTCTCCAAAGTCATAGGATGCATCTACAGTGTAGAATTAATGCAGTTTCACAACACTATAACTGGCATGGACCAATGCTATGGAAGCCTAAAAGCCATAGTTTTACAGATATACAGATATTATTATAAACATGTAGATATTATTGTTATAGACATATAGATATCTATATCTATATCTATATATATAATAGACTTATCGATATTATTATGACAGATATATAGCCCAGGGTTGCTATAAATGGATGGCCATCTTTTGGGAGTGTTTTGACTGTGCTTTCCTGGACAGACTTTTCTAGCCTTTTTTGTAAGCCGTCCTGAGTCCCCCTTCGGGGGTTGAGAAGGGTGGGGTAAAAGTACCATAAATAAATAAATAAATAACTCACAGAGCATGCCTTTTTGTCCTTTCTTTAAAGGACAAAAAACATGTCCTTTTTGTCCTTTCTTTTGTCCTTTCTTTAAAGCAAACCTTTAAAACTGTGGCATAGACACCGAGAACCGGGAAGCCCTGACCTCTGAGCACTCTAGCTGGAGGTCAGCTGTGACCACCAGTGCTACAGAATTTGAAGAGGCACAAATGGAGGGTAAAAGGGAGAATTGTGCCAAGAGGAAGGTGCATCAAGCCAACCCAGACAAGGAATCACTTGGACACCACTAGAAAGTGGTGTCCTCATTGTGGGAGAACATGCAGATCAAGAATAGAGATTCACAACCATCTACGGGCCCACCGCCAAGATACTAACTATACTTGGAAGGCAATTATATTTGGACTATGAGGGATTACCTAATTAAGTAAGTAGATAATGTGTGTCTGAAATCAAATGTTCCAATAATTGAGTTGTTGTGGGTTTTTTGGGCTATATGGCCATGTTCTAGAAGCATTCCCTCCTGATGTTTTGCCTGCATCTATGGCAAGCATCCTCAGAGGTTGTGAGGTCTCACAACCTCTGAGGATGCTTGCCATAGATGCAGGCGAAACATCAGGAGAGAATACTTCAAGAATATATCCATATAGCCCACAAAACCTACAACAACTCAGTGATTCCAGGCATGAAAGCCTTCGACAACATATTGTTCCAATAATTGTTTTATATTATACAAGTGTATAACACAAAATTTATTTATTATACAGAAGTCCATCCTAACATTTGAGATTATTCATTTAACCCAACTACATCCTGCCTGACCCTAATTTATTTATTTATTTATTTCATTATTACTCTGCCTTTCTCATCCCGCAGGAAACTCAAGGCGGCTTTCAAACTCCGGCAAAAATTCAATGCCCCATCATAGACATAGATAATAAAACCAAAATGACAGTAAACATACCCTATCAAACTATAAAACCATCATACTTTTCTGGAGGGCAAACCCAGAATCCCACAAAATCCAGATATTCTAGGAACTCTCAGGATTCTGGAAGTTGTAGTTGAGAAGAGTGAACATCCGCAGTTCTGTTTCACCTCCTCTTCTTACATACCTTGGTGGCTAACAGCCTTGTCAGATATATCTCTGACACCATCTTGCTCCCTCGGTCGCCCTCCTTCTGGTCTCCGTGTTCATGGTTCTTCACCAGATGCCACATCTTGACCCCACTTTCCAGATCAGGCGTAATCATGGGTGTCCGGGAACGCAGGCTATCTGGGCTTCCCGTGTAGCGGATCATGTTTTCTGAAAGCAAGAAATTGCAAAAATTTCAGGAAATGTTTCACATAGATATGATTTTAGGGTGGAAAGCCATCTCTCAGCTCTTCCAGGAGGAAA